CCCCCCCCTTCCTCAGGTCCTCAACTGGCTACCCACGGACCCCCTCATGAAAGGCCTCATTCCGGAGGCCGAAAGGGGCGGTCTGGCGGAGCACATCCATGGTGAGCGGTGCAAGTTCGGGCCCTTCACCTTCGGCGGTGGTAGGAACTTCCCGTTTTTGGAGTCGATGGACCCGGCGGGGGCGGCTGGCAACAGCGGCAGCGGCAGTGGAGGCGAAGCTGTGTTCGCGGGAAAGAAGAGCAAGAGGCAGTACATGCAGGGGAAGGGGCGGGATCGCATCGGCGGCAGCACCACCCACATGGATGGTGAGATGAGCATGTGTGGGGGTACGGAGGGCACGTGTTGTTGATCCCTCGAGCGTTGGTGGGTGTTCTCCTCGTTTGTGTGCGGTCGCAACGAATGACTGGTCGAGCTTGAGTATGCAGGGGATGCGGAGGAGTCGTGGGGGCTAAACTTGAACGTTATCTTGCCGAAAATGAACCATGTACATACCATAACGCATTATGTGTAAATCGTTGACGAATCGAGTTTTGATGTCGAGAGCTCTCGGACTCCCTCTGTTTTGGATTACCCCCACCCCTCAACAACGCTCGCTTTGATGCCCTTAAGGCGTAGCGTCAAAGTAGGAGCATGTGTACTGTACGTTTCAACAGCATACCCAGCGCGCACACGTTCTTCCCATAACCAACCGCTATAAAACAGGCATCTATTTTTTTTTTGTTGTTTGTCTTCTCCAATAATATAATGAAAATAACTCAATTAGAGTAAACACCTTTTTTTTTGTGTACTATGGTCCATTCGGGCAAATATTCACAATATTTTCCCCTGCACAAAGGTGCACTTTCTCGGGGTGGAGGTACTTATTCCGAAATCTGAAAATACCGCGTAAATCGACGTTTCAAGGCGCATCTTCGTACGGAGATTTTTTTTTTTTTTCGTCCTTCGCTCGATATGTTCAGATATTCAAGAAATCTTGCTTACTTCCTGGAGGGCGGTGTTTTTTGCAGACACAAAATCTGAGACCGGATTTGGACAGCTCTCGTGATTTGCCACCGATGATTTTTTTACGATTTCCAGTTTGACAAAAAATAACGGAGTTATGGGCAAAAAACCGGATATTGGAGAGTATGTAGCTTAGTTTCTTGGTGACAATCCAACCGTCCGATTCAAAAATAAAGTGCTGCAATCGATTCCTCTCGTGATTTCCCACCGATGATTTTTTTCCGATTTCCAGTTTGACAAAAAATAACGGAGTTATGGGCAAAAAACCGGATATTGGAGAGTATGTAGCTTAGTTTCTTGGTGACAATCCAACCGTCCGATTCAAAAATAAAGTGCTGCAATCGATTCCTCTCGTGATTTCCCACCGATGATTTTTTTCCGATTTCAAAACGAAACTGGGGTTTCGGAGATATTTCGGGTGGTTTCACACGCCCTCGGGGAATTTTTTCCCGCCACACACACACCAGAGGACACACACACACACACCCTTTACGCACGCAACGAAAGACGCACACGCGCTCCGGGCACATGGGTCGCCCAAAGGGTAAGCGCAAGCTGCCAAGGAACGCCGACGGCACGTTTCGGAAGGCANGCCCTCGGGGAATTTTTTCCCGCCACACACACACCAGAGGACACACACACACACACCCTTTACGCACGCAACGAAAGATGCACACGCGCTCCGGGCACATGGGTCGCCCAAAGGGTAAGCGCAAGCTGCCAAGGAACGCCGACGGCACGATTCGGAAGGCCCCTTCGCCCCATGCGGACCCTGCTGTAGGCAACGACTCTCCTCCCTCTTCCGACCATGAAGGCGCCAATATTTCTCCCATGCACACCAACGACCACGACGACGACTGGCCCCACCGCCGTTCTCATCGGCCTGCCGAAAGGAGGAAAGCAGCTGCTCATGGAGATGGGGCTTTGGGAAGGCGAGCTAACCCTACGCGTTCACGAGTGCAGCGCGTGCAGGGCGGAAAAGGCGGCAACAAGGCAAGCCATTACCGCCTTCAACCGCGGTGGAGAGGGGCGGCAGCAGGTGGTGGACAACACGNTGTAGTGTTGGTTTCTCGCGTTTAGGCGCGGTAGAGGCGTTCGTTATGGTCACCAACTCAACGCTATAGCTGTCTCTCTTGGTATCGGACTTGCTTAGAGAGAACGGATGTGATTGCTGCATGCTTTGTTTGCAGCACCTTCACCAGCCAGGGGTTGGGTAGAAAGTAAACGGCGGTATTGTATGTATGTATGTACATATGTAACGTGTAAATATTGTAAATATGGATTGACAACGGTTTAACTGATGTTTTGAAGGCAAATACGTGTAGAAGGGAGGGGTTGAGGGGGGGGTCGTGGTGTACTTTGGGGGCTCCGTGGGGTCATGAGGGGTGGGGGGGTGGGGGCTCCGTGGGTCATTTTGGTCAAAAATGTCGCATTTCACCCTATCACCAAAAACTCATCGGATATCGACGAAGCTCGACGCCGCGGTCACGCCCAAAGTTGTTTCACTTTCCAAATCGTTTTTTTTCGAAAGATATCGCGAAAAACAAGATTGTGAACATTTGCCCGAACGGACCATATATTGGCTCACCTTGGCATAAAAAGAATAGTGTTGCATTCTTTCTAACCCTACCCCTAACCCTTCCTGTCCCTTTCTCACCGCGCCTTTTTTTTTTTAAGGGATGGGGTCTTTCACAGCGATCGGCGGCCTCAAGGCTGGAGAGAAGAGCGTTACGGCCTTCGAGTCGGAGGACTGTGCCACCGCCCTGGCTGTCGCTAAATTCAAGGCCTTCGCGAAGCCCGGAGGGTCGAGCTACGTGGTAAGTCAGAACAATCCAACACGAAAACGGGTTCAAACACACCATCAATAGTATAATGTTTTGCCAATGTAGACACGGCGCCTTTTTCACTGTCTCCGCCTATCAATGGCGATGTGATTGGTAGAAGTACAACAGCACCAAGGCCATTGCATCAAGAAACAGGACGATGCAGGTTTTCGACGTAGTTTGTTGAGAGAGATCCTACACAATCGGTTGCTGTCAGCAATGTTTGTCGGCCGAATGCCTTGAAGTGTGTTGCTGGCAGCAGTATCTATGTGGAAAACAAGGCGTCAAAACATGTTTTTGTCCACAGTATCTAGGGAGAGAGAGCCTGCAAAGTTTGTCTTAGCCAACAACGTCTATCGCGATGCGGCCGACGAAGTCTGTTCCGTCCACAATGTAAACCGAATGGGATGCTGCAAAGAAACACATTGCACCCAACCATGGCTACATGTCTATCCACCGACGGCCTGCGAAATCCTTAGTTGTCTACAAAAAACACCTCACACCTGCCACACATCCTGCTGCAAAGAGCATCGATTGAAAGACTCCTGACGAAACGTCTCTCTCTGTCTCCCCCCCCCCCAGGTGAACGACCGCATCGACGATGACGCCACCCTCCGCAACCGCTTCCACCGGGCCGGCGTCCGCTACCGAACCTTCCCGATCCGCGAGGGAGAGGCCTACCTAGTCCCCTCGGGCTGCCTCCACGAGTTCATGAACGTGATCCCTTGCCTGAGCGTGGCGTGGAACATCATGCCCCACCCGGCCAACTGCGAGGTGGCGATGCGGATGGCGGAGGCCAGCGTCGAGGAGGCCCAGGCGGAGCTCGGCGTGAACACCGACAGGTCCGCAAGCGCCATCGAGCACGCTCCCCCGGAGAGCATGCGGGAGCGCCACGCGGCATGGGTGATCAAGACCGCCCTGGAGCGGGGAATCCTCTTGCGCCGCCGGTGGGCCTCCGACCCCGACTCCCGCTCCGGCGGTAGCAGCGGGGGTGGCCGCGAGTGCGGTCCTAGCCGTCCGCCCACCGCGGAGTCCAACAAGGCGGCGGCGGAGACGGCCGCGAGGCACAAGCTCCCCGCCGACATGTGGAAGAAGTTCCTATTCATGCGGCCGAGCGAGCACTACTACGATGGGCACGTAGGTAGCGCTACTTCGCAGAAGGCGGCGTTCGTACCGGCGGCGGCTGCTGCTGCTCGGGCAGCGCCGGGGGGCACCAGAGTGGCGATAGTAGGCGCTCGAAGGATGTCGGCGGGTGCCCGAGCGGCGGAGAAGAAGACGACCGCCAGACGGACGGGCACGGAGAAGCCTCGGTATTGGAGGGAGCCAATCCGATCGGGTGCGTCTGCCGTTCCGTCGTTGGCCGTGGTTGCTGATGGTGGCAGCGGCAGCGGTGGCAGCGAAGGTGCTGCCGCCAAGCGTGCAAACGGGACTGTCCGAGCGAGCTCGTCGTCCTTTCGATCCTCGGTGGTGGCACCCGGCACTGATGGCGGCGGCAGCAGCGGCGGCGACGATGCTACTGCCAAGCGCATAAAAGGGACGGTACGAGCGAGCTCGTCGTCGGTTACATCCTCAGTCGTGGCACGCGGCACTGAAGGCGGCAGCGGCAGCGGCGGCGGCAGCGGTGGCGGCGGCGCTACAGTCACGGTTGTGAAGAAGCGAGGGCGGGGCAGGCCGCGTAAGGTGAAGCCGGTACAAAAAGCGCAATCGGCGAAGGAGGAGGAGGCGGCGCAACCTCGCCTGGGTTCGACGTCAGACGACCCCTCAGTGGATGAGGTGAGGGCGCGCGAAGAGACGGACAAGGTCGAGCGTCCGGTGATAGGGACGTCCGCGTCAGAAGACAAGTCGGCGCCGCCGGATGCTGCGCCAATGCGCCCGGCATCGGAGGCGGCCGCATCGATGGAGGACACAGCGGGTGGAAAGTTGCGTGGCCAGGCGTCCGCGTCGGACGACACGTCGGCGGTTGGAAAGGCAGGAATGGCTACTTGCCAGGTGGTGGGGGCTTCCCCGTCAAACGGCGGTGTCTCGGCACCACGGTTGGAGGAGGAGGAGGAGGAGGAGGAGGAGGAGACGTCGCGTCAGGTAGCACCGGGGGCCATATCGAAGGGCTTCTCGGCAAAGGCCAGGGTGCGCCGAAAGGGGCATGGTTCAAAGCAGGGGGATAACCCAAAGAGCCGGGTAGCCAAGGCAACCCCTTCAAAGGATGTCTCGGCACCGCCGCAGGTCGCGGCGCCAAGGTCGAGGGAGGAAAAGGAGACACCGCGTGAGCTAGTGCTCGAGGGCCCATTGCCGCGGGCCAAGGTGTGTCAGAAGGAAGATGATCAAAAGCGGGCGGATGACCCAGAGCACCGGGTAGCCGAGACACCCGTTTCAATGGATGTCTCGGCACCGCCAAAGGCGACTGCACCGCGGCCGGAGGAGGAGGCGACGCCGCTTGAGGTAGTGCCCGAGCCCGCCTCGAAGGCCGCCTCGCCGACGCGAGGGGCCAGGGTGCGTCGAAAGGGGGATAATCCTAGGCGTCGTGTAGACGGCGTGTTCGTGTCAAAGAGTCTCTCGGCAACGCCGGGGGCGGCGGCGCCGCAGTCGGGGGAGGAGACGCCGCGTGAGGTAGCACCGGTGGCCGCATCGTCGGTCACCTCGCCGGAGGCCAGGGTGCGCCGAAAGGGGGATAACCCTAGGCGTTGGGTAGCAGGGGCGGCCGCATCAAAGAACGTCACCTCTGTGCCGCCGGAGCCGTCGTGTAAGCCGCACCTGGTCAGGACGCCCAAGTCCTCGGACACGGGTGCACCATCATCATCATCGAGGCTGCCCGCGCCGATGTCTCCGCTGCTCCCCTCGGCGGTCTCATCGGCGATGCCGGGACCAAGCTTTGATCCCCGGGTAAGCGCAACGAGGGCGGCTGCGCCGGCGGTGGCACCGCTGGTGAGTCCGCAGATGGCAGCGCCGTCCCCGATCTCGTTCGGCCAAGTCATGCCGCACGCCCGTCGCGAGATGTCACCCAGTCTGTCCCTCTTGGGCCTACCACCCCCCGATGATGCGTCGCCACCGCAGTGTCCGACCCTGCCTGTGGGCCACGACGATGGAGTCTACCTGGACGTACCCATGGCGATGACGGCCTTCCATAAGCTACCCTTCGCTGGTGACATGGCACCCAGCCCCCACCAGGCGTTTTACGGCACGATGGGCTCCGTCGGGTTTACCGCGGATAGCCCTCAGGCTCACGGCCCGCTAGAGAGCTACGGGGGCTCGTCCCCGCCGCCTCACGGGTTCCTTGGCCCGGGGCCGCCGCCGCTGGGGGGACGATCGGCAGACGCTGTCGGGAGTTGCGACGACCGCTTTGTTGCCCTAGCGGGGATGGGCGGAAGTGGTGGTGGAGCCAGGTTTGACGGCGGTGGTGATGGGGGCTGGTGTGGCGGACGTGGCGATGGAGCCAGGGATGACGAAGGTGGTGATGATCGCGTCGGGTATGGTGCAGGTGGAGGCAGCTTTGGTGCCGGTGGCCATTGCGCGAGCTTAAACGGCGGTGGTGATGGAGCCGGATTTGGCGCAGGTGGCCGTAGCGGTGGACTTGGCAGCGACACCCTTGACGTTGACGACGGCGGCGACGGCTTCGGGAAGGCGGTCGGCGTTAGGGCAAACGTGCGCACCATGGGCGCCGGCACAGGGAGGAGCACCGTGGGCGGGCATGATTCTGACGAGGGCATCGAGAGAGGAGAGTTGTCTCCTTTGAGGCCGATCAGACGCCGCAGGAACAACACCGGAGTACGAAGCGCAGGAGGAAGCACGGGGGGGGGCACTCACGGCCAACCCGCCAGCGTAGTTGCCGGCGCCGACGCCGGACTGGAGACAGCGGCGACGACCGGTTTGCGGGAGGGAGGCGTCCCCACAAGCTCGGGGCCACCGTGGACTCCCTCCTCCGCCACCGAAGGTAGTGGTAGGTGTGAAGAAGGCGGAGCGTCAGAAAGCACTTGCCCTGGTATCGGCAGTCGGAATGAGGGCGGACCGAGTGGGGCCGGGGCGGTGGCCGGTGAGGGCGGCCAGCGAGACCGCAGCAGCATCGTCAGCAGCAGCAGCAGCAGCAGCAGCGACGATGCAGCCACCGCCGTGTCTTCTTCGTCTCCCGACATGGAAGGCGGACACCGGACCAGCGGCCGCGCCAGCATGCCCGGTGGCGGTGCCAGAAGCTCCCAAGTTGGTGACGACGGCAGTGGCGGCGCTTCTCTCCTTTCGTCTGCTCCTTCGCCCTCAGTGCGGGGGGAGCGAAAGCGTACCGGCGAAAAGAAGAGGCCCGAGGTTAGTGTGGAATCATTGGAAGACAACGTGAAAGTGGTAGCAACGTCAATGGGTGGGGTGTTTTCGTATATACACATTTTTTTGTACTTGTTCCCGAGGTTCGTGTGGAATCATTGGAAGACAAAGTGAAGGTGGTAGCAACGTCAATGGATGGGGTGTTTTTGTATGTACACATTTTTTTGTGCTTATTCCACCGAGTTTTTGTAAGAAGCGTTCATAGGAGCCAAGGGTTATGACTTGTTTTTTTACCTTGTCGCCTTTGTGCCACCCGAAATCACGTGGTTTTTCGAAGGCTTTGATTCGTAACGGTGCCGCTCCTTGTTCCCTCCCCCCTCTCATTCTCAATTCTGGAACAGCGAAAAAGCTCAGGCGGCGACGGCGGGAGGCCGGAGGTGGCTGTCGGCGGTGTCGGCACCGTTGCCGGCGGCAGCGCGAGCGCCTGTCCTGACGGGGCAGGGAGCAGCCATGGCAGAAGTGGTGGTGCCAACCAGTGCGCTGATGACGCCGAGGACAGCACAGGACGCCGGGTTAGACGGCAGGCGGCGGTGGTGGCCGGAGGCGGCGGTGGTGGCAGCGAGTGCGCCAACAAGCGCAGCGAATCGAGTTCGAATCACCGTGGCGGTATCGGACTTGAAGAAGACCAGGGGCATGGCGACGGCAAGCCATCGCAGCCGCTCCCTCAGCCGCAGGAGGAGAGGCGTCACGGCGGGGGTGTCCCTCCGTCGCCCGGCGGCGGCGGTGGCGACGGCAGCGCACGTGCTACCAGCTCAACGGGCGTTGATCCCACGGGCGGTGGTTGGTGCGGATGGGTCCCAAACACCGTGATCCTGAAGAAGACGACTCGAGAGGCACCGGTTCTCTGCCCTGCCAATGGGGGCGGGGGGGGGTCGTTTTCATCGCCGGGTAGCCGGAGTTCTGGTAGCGGCGGTGTCGGCGGCGTCGGTGATGTTGGCGGAGGAAGCGGAGACAGGAAGCCACGACCGCGATTTTTCGCGGATGTGCTGAAGTGTCGCGCGAGCGTAAGCAGCGGCAGCGCCTCGAACGGCAGCCCTCGACCCCGGGCGGAAGGCGAGCAGAGCGCGTCGCGGCCAAGCTCGAAAGGCGAGAAGCAACGCGACGCTGGGAGCGCGGCCGCTATTGCGAAGCCGGACGCGTGTTCGCGGCAGGAGGCTTCTACGGCCACGCCCAACCACGACGGCAGCGCAAGGCAAACCCGTGCGGGAGGCAATCCAAGGTTGAGCTCGAGAGGCGACGAACGCCGCGGTGGCGATAACGCCGCCGGCCGTGCACGGCAAGACAGCCACCATGGTCCGGGCCTCGCCCGCGCTAGCCGTTCCTCCGGATACGACGACGTGGGTGGTGCGCGACGGCGGCGGTCGTCCTCGGGGGGCGACAGCGGCCACCGGGGGTATTGCCGGGACGATAGCAGGGATCGGCAGGGCAATGGAGGCCGGGACCGGGGGAAGGGCCAGCGCCCGAGCGCGAGGCGCGGAGACGAAAAGCCCAGGCGGCCGCCTGATTCTCGTGCGAACGCGGAGGAACAGCGTCAAGGTGGAGCGCGCAAGGGCGGTTGTGGCGGTGGTCGGGGTGAACGCCGAAAGGGCCATACCGGCAGGGATGGAACCTTGTCCTTGTCCTTGTCTTCGTCTTCGATGAGGAAGCGACGGCCCGACAGCTGCGAGGGGCGCAGCCAGAGCCGGGGCGGTGATGGCGGTAGGCTACGCGCCGGCTACGCGACACGCTCCCCGCCCCGGCGACGGCTTGGCAGCACCGGTAGCCTCCGGGACGAGAACCAGAGGGATCGCCGGCGAAGCGCTCAGAAGAAGGACTTGCTACGCTACGGGCCCGGCTGTGAGCGCGACAGGCCGCGCATACGGGGGTGGCAGGACGGTAGCCGCGATCGGGACGGCGGCAGCCGTGGAGGCCGAAACAACCGCGACGGCCGCCGTTCACGGTCCCCCTCCTGCACCCGAAAGAAACCGGACGCCATCAGGCCTGACCGTCGGCAGCGGTCGCGGTCGGCGTCGTCACGGAGCCGCCGGAGGAGCCGAGACCGGGTCAGGCGGGCGTCTCGCTCTCGGTCTCGCGACCGCCGTCGTCGCGGACATGGGTCGAGGTCGCGGGGCAGCTCGAAGAAGTCTTCCTGCAGCTCCCGGAGCCGCGGCAATCGACGACGGCGGTCACGGACACGGTCACCAGCGCGGGCATGTTCACGGACGCGAGCACGTTCACGATCATGGTCATGTTCACGGTCGCGGACACGGTCATGGTCATCGCGCTCACGGACGCCGGCACGCTCCCAAACACGGACACCGGCACGCTCCCAAACACGCAAACCGGCACAGTCATGGTCCCGATCGCGCTCGCGGACACCGGCACGGACACGGACACGAAAACGGGCACTGTCGCGGTCGGGGTCAAGGTCACGCTCAAGGACACCGGTCCAGTCAAAGACACTGACACCGGCACTGTCAAGGTCACGATCGCGGTCACGGACACCGGTCCAGTCAAAGACACGGACACCTGGTCAGTCAAAGTCACCGACGCCGGCACGGGCACGATCAAGGTCCCGGTCTACGTCTTCCCGAAGCGAGACGGACAGGCCACCGTTCCCGCCGTCGTCCCCTGGCTCATCTGAGCGTCGTCGCGATTCATCTCCGTTGTCGCTTGACCAAGCAGCACCCAGCAAGCTGGACGAGCAACGGGAAACGGCCGCGGGTGCTCCTGGCGACTGCCACGGCCACGGCGATGGTGACGGTGACGGCGATGATATCAAGGCGAAGCCGGGACGCTCAACACTCCCTTGGACGTCCTGCGCCGGGGAGAAGCAACTGCCGAGATGTGGGGCAAGAGTCAAGGGCCGCCAAGAGGGCGGGAGGAGGAAGAAGCCGCGCGATCCCGCCGCTGATGGTAGCTCGACAGAACAAGACCAAACATCCGACAAGGCGGCCGGCGACGGTGGCTATGCTGGCGCAGAAGGTGGTGCGCAGAGGAGGACTGAAGCCGGCGGTGTCAGCACCAGCGGCGGCGGTGGCGGAAGCCGGACTGGTGGCGGCAGCGGTGCTGGCAGCAGGAGCGGCGGCGGCGGCGGTAACGGCGGAACCGGTGGAAGCGGCGACCGAAGAAGCAGGGGCAGCTGTGATGGCGTTACCAGCAGTGGCGGCGCTGGCAGCAGCAGCGACAGTGGTGACGGGAACGGTGGCATCACCGGCGGAACCAATAATAGTACCAGCAGCGGGGACGCTAATGACAGCAGCAGTGGTAGCGGAGCCCCCACCAGCATCGTCGCTGATAGCAGCAGTGGCAGGGGTAGTGGCAGGACCAGCGGTACCGATGGTAGCACCAGCAGCGGCGACGGCAACGGCAGCAGCCTTGGTAACGGCGGCGGTGACAGTGGCAGCGGTGGTGGCAGTACAAGCGGCACCGATGACAGCACCAGCTGCGGCGGCGGTAACACCAACGCCGGCAGTGGTGTCGATGCCCGCAGCAGCAGCAGCGGCAGCGGTATCGATGGTCGGCCCGGAAATTCTCGCTCGAATCTAGCTTGGAACCCCGGCGGAATCACCCTCCCCGGCGACTCTGCTTCGGGGGGTGTACTCTCGCCGGCGGAGGAGCCGCACCCGGCGGGGCGTACACGACGCCGGGCATCCCAGAACGCCATCGATGGCAACAGGCGTATGCTCCAGGGTTCCCGTAAGCCGAAGTCGCGGTCGGTCTCTCCCCGTTCTTCCTCCGCTAAAAGGTCCGCGGGGGATGGCGGTGCGAGTTCGGGGCCCGGGCCGCAACGGGGCCGCGGCGGCGGTGGCGGTGGCTCTGCGGTAGGAGCGGTGCCAGCTCGCTCATCCGGGAAAAAGAGAAGCGCGACAAAGCGCGAGAGTGCTGGTGCCAATGGTGTGGCGGAGCCACGGGCGAGGTCGGCGTCGAAGGGCGTTGGGGCGAAGGCAGAGAGCGAGTCACAGACGAGGCTAAGGAAGATGGCCGCAAAAGCTCCGCGGGAGGAAACGGACGGGGCGGCTGCGTCTGGCCATGAGAAGGAGCGGCCGGCCGCGGTCTCGAGTCAAGACTCGGGCGAAACGGCCGGCAAGCTTGGCGCCCCCGCGGAGGATGGTGTCGGCGTCGAAGAAGCAAGGCCGGGCGCAGCAGCCGACGGCCAAAGCTCGTGCGCCGTTGCCGCAGCGCCGACGATGGACGTGGGGGAGGAGCAGGGCAGGGCCAAGCGGCAGCGCACGGATGGCCGAGTCGAAGTCGAAGCACCCCGGGTCCACGATGTAAGCGTCTCGCGAGAATGTTGGGGGTCGTGTGCTGGCCTGACGACGATGCCGTTTAGACCGTTTTGCTTGTAGCAGCGAGTATCTGTCTCGCTGATGTCGAGTCAGGACTTGTCGGTTCCTGGAGCGCGGGGGGTCGTCAGCCAGGACAGTCGGCGGTGGTGTGTATACATCTGGATGCCGGTTGCTTGCGCTTGCCGACTTGTCACCTCGCTATCACGCGTGAGTAAGATTTTGTCTCGACCCGCCGTCACGAGGGAGTAAAGTAGCGGAGCATGCCGTCAGCCAACGACCACCCCGCTTCCCCCTACTCCTGGTTTCTGTCCGTGTTGCCGCCTTGTGACGATTTTCTTGTGTCTTCAGCCTGCGAGAAGCCCCGACAACGGTGGTGGTGGCACCCCCTCTCCCCCAGCCCCATCACGCCGCCTTCCAGGGCCCGAAGTGGACACGACGGGTGGAGGGAACGTTGCAGGTGACATTTTTGGACGACACATGAATGCGCGTGCGAACCACCTATCGCTACTGCTGTTGCTTTCGTGATGATCCCGTTGATCCACCATTGTGTGCATGGCGTCGGTTGCGCTGCGTGACAACCTACAGTATCCGCGCGTGCTTGATGGTGTGTCACGTCACTATCTCCTGATTTTTTCTGAAGCGTTGTCGGCGTATCTCGTTACTACGATATACGACCACCACGTCCTCAGTGCCGATGAATGTGTCGGGTATCGGTGAGCACGGAACCATATCTGGATCCTTCGATGGAGAATGTCTCAAACATGAAACGTCACCCTGCGCCAAAAATGGCATCAAGAATTTTCATGACCTTTTTCTAGATTGCTCAAGCGTGCCCTGGTCTGGGTTTATTCGAAGAGAGTTTTGACCATCTGTAGCGCGGCAACATTCCCCTGTCTTTCGCACCGTGTCTTCTGTATGTTTCCTTTGTCTTTTGTACCTTTTATTTGCCTGTTGCACATCATCGTGAGCTAGCCTGTACCCACAAGAAGTCTTTTTTTGGTGATTAGGAGCGCGCAGGAGGCACAGGATACAAACCAGAGTTTGTTTTAGTGTCAAGCTACCCAACAACGGCACTGCTGCTGTATACGAACGATGTCACGCATGACACGTTCCGCGCCTTGCCCTTGGCTCGCGTTGACGTCATCGTTAATCAACCGTCTCGCGTCATTCCCCCGACCACTTATCGTGCACACACAGCGGTCGACAACAACACGAAGAACGACCAGCCTTACGGACCGGCGCCACCTCCACTTGCTACCGTGCCGCCTGCTGAAACCGCGGCCGTCTCGCCACAACGGCAGAAGCGGCTGCTGACGGCGACGACAAACGAGGCGGACAGCGGCGGCGGCAGCAGCGATTCAGACGAGGAGTACCCGGAGGGCATCGTGGGGGACCATTGGCCGCATCCTCCCTGCGATCTGGAGGCGGAGGTCGGGGGAGGGGTCGCAACGGCACCGAGCAATCGCTCCAAGCGTCCTCAACGCGGGATTTTGTGGTGATGTTCGATCCAACACAAGAGAGCGGTGTAGATCTCCAATCGATAGAAACCGCAGTTTGGCGATTTCGCCCTGGCCGCCGAGAAAGGACAAGGGGGGGTGATACGAGTGGACGGGTTGAGAACGTGGTTCGTGAATGGGGGCACCGTATATCCTGGGGCGAAGGGGGGTGTGTGTGCGATATGGTCTGCGATGGCTTTCGTGTGTCGCACGCGGTCGCCCAGAATAGTTGAGTTCGAGGAAGCTAGCGTAGCCGTCGCTCAGCAAGAATCTCGGTGATATGGCTGGCAAATGGTGCGGCTGTCTGCAGGAACGCCGTCGCCCGACCGGTCCGGTCCATACAGCGGAACGATCCGTAGAAGGGTCGATGATTGGTTGGTGGCTGGAGCAGCTGTTATGGTCGTTAGTGCGTCTACGAGCAGGCGACGAGAAGGACGCTGGTGTTGAAGGCCTGAGTCGGACGGGCGGCTGGTCGGAAGCGTGGTGTATGGACCATGATAGGCTCTGTCAGTGGGGGGTAGTGCAATAGCGGAGGACGTGCTTGTGGTGAAGGCCGAGCGCGATGGGCATGTTGTTGGCGGAGGTGTCCCATTAAAGCAAGGGTATGGCCTGTTTTTCGGTGAAGGAGAGTATAGTGCATTCCACGAGTCCTTGTGTCAGACATTCTAGTATGATACATGCTTTCGGCTGGTGGTTTTTCGATGGCGGTGCTGGCATCAAGCCGCGAGTGCACAGTGCGACTTGGCGGGATAGTGGGCGTTGCCCCGGAAAAACTCCATGACACTCCGGAAAGAAAGTACACCCGCACATTAGATCCATGCATGTTTTTCCGTGTTTGTTTTTGAGGGGACATGTCATCCGTGCTTGTTTTTACTGTTGTAATCGTTGACAGCTGTGCTTTGCAGGGCTTATTACGCCGTCTTACTTTCTCTAGCAATCGCAGATAGCGCTACATGGAACCTTCGTTTTGGTTTCTTCCTTTATTAAGTAGCGAGGGTCAGCCCGCACTACGCAGGGATTTGTTGTCCTTTTGATGAGCCAGTCGCCCCGGTGGCGTAGACAGGTGGTGTGCGACCTCGAAAATTGTGTGGCGGCTACGTCGGGAGTTCGAATCCAGGCGAGGCGTGTGGTAAGTCTGCGTGTCGCACCTGCTACACACCCGCAGTGCTTGTTTGCAGGTGGCACATTTCAGGTGAGCTTAGGGTGAGGGCGGCTGAACCCTGCTGCTCGCGATAGACCATGGTTGGTGTTATGTATTCTTTCGAAAACACGAGCAAGGCGTGCGCGTTCAGAGGGACTCTTCTCCGTGGCGGGACTCCGGATAGGATTCCTAGAGAGGACTGACTGGCTGGACGGTACGTGGAAATTGCGAGCGATGCGTAACAAGCGGAACGCTGCGAGAAAGAGAAGGTAGTAGCCAGCACTACGCCGGGCTTTTGTGCTGTTTCCCACCGCTTGGGTGCCTGATTTGGGTCTGCTGCCCAGGGATATTTGGGCAGGTCGTGGTATCATCTGGACCAGTGGGGTCCTGTTGGAAATTTGATGAACGTCTGCATGTGGGCGAATGCGGGCAACGCTCCTGGCGGGGAGTGGTATGCTCTTTGCCAGCCTTTTCTAGGGGAAGGGGCGGCGGGGTACGGGACAGGCGAGGTACTGGCGGTTTATTGTGGTGGACGGCTTCGACGATTCTCCGTTCTGTTGTTGTTGTCACTGCTGATGTGCCGCAAGACCATGGCATCGGTTATTGGACGAGCTTGACAACGGAAAGCAGCGGGCGAGGGGGCGGGGGCGGGGGGGGAGGGGTATGCGTCATGCGAAAGATGTACCGGTCTGCGTGTTTGGCGTCTGCACGCTTCCTTTTTTCCCCGGGGAGGGGGGGTTGGCTGGTCCTCGCCCGAGCACATCCATGCACGCGAGTAGTGGGAACCTGTGTGGTGTTTGCTAGCACAGTATGCGCAGCCTTCGAGCAGCAACAGAACCCACAGCCTCTTCGGCCCGGTTCCTTGTTTCCGTATATCATACACGAGTTTGGTTAATTTTTGGCTGGGATCCTATCGCGTTGTGTCTAATTCATGCATGGGCTCATTTTTTTGTACAAATGGGATGTCCGATACATGTTTCCTGTGGGGTAGGCTACCTTGTAGACTGTAGTCTAGATGTAAATGTGTGAGTGTTTCCACCGGCGGACCTGTGAACGGAGGAGGGCGGGGTGGGTGATGCCGTTGATTTGATGATGTGGTGTGTTCGGAGCCGTCCCCCTGTGGTCATTTCGTACATACCATGCCCTGTGCGAGCAAGACTGATTCTCGGGTCTGATTTAATTCCATACCGCGTTCTGTTCACGGTTGTCTCAATTTCACAGGAGTACTAAATGCCTGTACCGTGGTAGCCATTCGTATGCCAGCAACGGTACATGTGGACGGTGGTGAGTTCCATTCGTTTTCGTAAAATCTCTTTGTTGTGGAGTAAGTGCGGAAGAGAGGGAAAAAAGGGCAGGTGAGGTATGGGAGAGAGCGAGAAGGGACGAACCAATGAACAAGGAGTTCGATACATCCATCATACATGTGCATGTGCATGTGCATGACCGAGAATGTGGGTTTGAGATGTTTCATGAAGAACAATCTCAGCATCACCGAGACAAGTTCCAGTGTGTATCGTAGTCGCGTAAGACACCCCTTGAACCGATGTTCGATTGCTCTGCAGCGAAAACTGCGACGGTGCCGAAGGTGGCGGAGTTGGAACGTCTCCTGGAGAGTTTTGACGAAGACCGATTGGTGGAATATTATTCGAATATTCCCCGTGCAACACAAACGCTATCGACCGTCTCATCCGGTGTCGTCTTGCACATCCCGTAGACAACGCCACACGCCGCCGTTAAGTTTTTTTTTTCATTGTCTACTCACTGCCGGTCGCCCCGGTGATCTATATCGGTGTGTGTGAGTATGTGTGCGTGTGTTTTCGTCCTATTTATTACGGCTACAGTCCCCCCATTTTTCGTGGTGAGACGTGTACTACACCTTTTTCATCGTATGTAGAGTACTACACTTTTCAGTGTATTTTTTCGTGCAACTACAACCATCCAGGGTCACACAGGAGGGGGTAAACACCAGGGCTGTTTTCTTCTTTTTATTTCTTTTCATGCCCCACCTTCCTCCTGCGGTGCGTGCTGATCTTTATTTTTATCGCGAGAAGGGTCCAGCCGTCCCTTTGCCTCGTCAACGGTGCTAACTTCGAAGTTTGGCACTCACGAGAGCTTGTCAGCTACATTTCGCTTTCACCCGCACATGGGGACACGTGGGAACCTCGAAACCGCTATTTAGTGCCACAGTCGTAAGTTCGAATCCCCATGGGGTGAAAAACTCACAACTTCGCGGGTGAAGCGAACAAAGCTGCGAGGTTATCGTGAGTACCAATCTTCGACTTCAGCACGGTCGACGAGAGAAAGTGACGGCTGGACCCTGCTCGCGATAAGAACAAAAATTCAGCACGCATCGGAGGAAGGCGGGGGGCATGAAAAAAAGAAAAAAAGCCCCCGTGTTTATCCCCTCCTGTGTAACCCTGGATGGTCGTAGTTGTACTAACAAATACTGAAAAGTGTCGTTCTCTACATAAACTGGATATTTGTCAACACGTCTCGACACGAAAAATGGAGGGACTGTCGCCATATATAAAAGTACTACCTACCGTCACCGTTGGCGCGACCTAACGAGGGAGCTGTGTCGGAGAGATATTATAATGATAGAGGATAGAGGCCTGCTGCAGCTGCTGTTGCTGGCTACCAGCTGAATTCGCATGTTTCATGTGGTGATACGTGTGTGCACGCTCCGGATGATGAGCCCAACTAACTGTACCATTGGAGTAAAATCATGCCTCCCGCCGTATTCCGGGGGTGAAAGGAGTGCATCCCCTGGCCACAGCAGTTCCCCCGCGCTTTTGGCGAACAGGGCAAAGAGCGGCTCCCCGTCTCACATTGTTGTTCGGAAGCCGGGGCGAGAGGACGCCGCTGTGCGTCGATGCCAGGGTTCTGAAGAGGGGAGACCAAAGCTTGGCGGCGACACAGGAGCTACTACGCGGGCGTTCGACGGCACCAGCAGAAATAATACTGTCTGTGATGTCTCAGGAGGTGTGTGAGATGAGTTAGAAGGCGACTGCTATTCGTTGTCGCTTCCTCTCTCACGCCTGTGTGCGTGTAAGCAATGCCACGGCAGTTATGAGCCCTAGGCAAACACCAGAGCCACTGAACCAGGTAGCCGAGCTCTCTGGTTTATCCAGCGCAGGTGGTGGGCGCGTTGTAGGATGGCGCCCGTATGCTGCTGAGTATTCCCAAACGCTCGATGAGATGCGTAGAACATTTTCGGAAGCTTTCGAACCTCCTCCCCACAATCCGCAGCGCGATGATTTTCCCTGTGGAACCAGTCGCGTGTTCATGCGTGACACCTCTTGCCCACCCTTGCTGCGGTGCGCTGCTGCTGTAGACCGGTGTGCGACCAGTTGGGCGTAGCCCCCGCTGGGGCATTTTTTCCGAATACACCGGGCGGCGTTGGCCTTTGCGGTTGTCGTGTGGGAGACCAGAGAGCTGCCTCTCACGCCCGGCACATGATTGCAAGTATTCCGCGAACAGGCGCGCCACCCAAAAGCCCAACAGCCCCCCTCCAAACCAAACCGAGAACCGTGCGTGTTATCTAGCGCTGGCAAATAGGACCACTCGCTAGTACTATCCCCTCTATTGGAGGAAATGTTGTGTTTTGACTCAGGCAGAGAGAGCCGGGGCCTACCAAACCATTTGCTGTGGATGAATGTTAATGTTGTCTCTAGGATGTATATACTCGACGTACGACGTGCATTCGCTTCACATACGTAAACGTTTTTTGAAAAACAGAAAACAACCGGGTACATGTCACTGCTGTGCTGCTCGGGAAATCGCGGAGAAACAGAACTTCCGTTGACGCTATGGATTCATTGCTTATCTATCTCAGAATCTTTTCTTTGATCGAGATGGATTCGTTTGGTCAGACTGAGAAAATTAAAAAAAAAACATGGTTACGTGAGGTGCCGCGGAGGGAGACAAGAGCTGCCGTGATGCTACCAACCTACAGATAAAAGACTTTTTGCGACAACGGCACGGACGAGAAAAACTACGAATATACTGCGAGCCGTTGGTGAAAAGTGCAGGACAACGGACATGCCAGCTATGAAACGGTTGTAATCGATGCTCACACTAAACGGTCTCATGTGAGCTATTCCACCTTTCATCCGTCACCCAAGCACCCGTAGCGTTTCAGCCGAAAATTCGATCTACAGCACTACAGCTCTACAGAATACTCTCGCCCCATGACAGCTTTAGTTTCACTGCTCTCAAGTGTCGTGATCGATTTCACCAGACACCGACGCCTTCCTGTCTACACGATGTTTTGAGGCCTTATACAACCTTTTCGATGATCGGATCGCTTCTCCGTTGGTCCTGGGGTTCTGCTCTCTATTGCTTTCACCAGAGAAGTGCTGGTGGCACCGCTCCGCCACAAGCCGAGATCGAGAATGGAACTGGTCGGTCGGTACAGCAGCTCTTCGAGGCGACCGTTGGGCGAGTGAGCAGGTGGACGGGCCCAGCAGTCGGAGCTGAAGAGGTGAGATTTGAAGCGGAAGAAATCTCGTCGCACGTTTTGTTCTTTCTGACCAAAGATTCCCCCAAGCTCAAAAGAGGACCTCAACAAGTTCGCAGTCAACATGTAGGAGACGGTGTAAACCCTTAGTCGGTTTGCACTCTCGTCTACATCGGTGCTACTGGAGCATACAGAAAACCAAGGTGCCTTTGAGGCCTGTGTCACTGGACAGTGGCGTAGAGCGTTTCCTTGAGCGCGATATGCTGCCGTTCACGCATCATGCCGCCATAGATTGTGCGCGATGCTGAATGTGAAGAAGTGCAGGCACGTAGGCACCCTGTAGCATCCAGTAGCAGCTCACCACGCTAGTTTTTTCCGTGGCTAACCCGCCGCAGCAATGCTTAGTACTTCCGCTTGGTCGGGGCCACAGCACAAAATAGAGTTCGCTTTCAAGTGCTGCACGACTTCATTGGTTCTAGGGTTGACATGGTTTTTCGGATCTGTAACCCCCCCCCCGTTTTTCGTCGCTTGGCAACGACGTTGTAACACAAGCCGCCCCTCCCGGTGTTTGCCATCGGGGTTGGGTTTTCGTCGCTTGGCAACGACGTTGTAAAACAAGCCGCCCCCCCCGGTGTTTGCCATCGGGGTTGTGTTTTCGTCGCTTGGCAACGACGTTGTAAAACAAGCCAACTCACTTCGTGAACTCGGCAACCAGGTTACCGTTTTTTTTTTTTCACCTCCGTTTTTTTTTTTTGGCGGTAACCATAGTGGTGGTCGAGTAGATCATGTTGTGCGGGGTGGAGAACCCTCACCCCGCGCAAGGGGGATGATCGCACCACG